CTGCTCTTGAAACTCAACAGTTTCGTGACATGCTGGCACTTGATTTTCAGATTTTGACATTACTATTTATGTTGGAGCACCAAGAAATTTTCCATTGTTGTAGGTAGGAGCAACTTGGTTTATTTGCACATCTTAAAAGACTCCATACTGCAGAATACATATTCTCTGGGTTTGTTGTCTAATGAGTTTGTGGTTATCATTCTACTCTGAGAAACATGTTTATTGAAAAAAATCTGAATTAAATTCCTTCAAATTCCTCTCTAATAAGAATATTCTCCTTCATAAACAGGAAACATTTTCTGTGATATTTACTAGTGAGTCTAATTTGCACGTTCTCTGTTCCTTCTCAGGTTGAATTTTTATTCAGTTTTAACTGTAAAAGAAGTATGAGATCTCTTCTGTTTTGGAGCCAGTAGTCAAACTCCTACTTCGTAAGAGCTGCCTCTGAAATGCCAGTAAAGTTTTTAATTGTTTCAAGGGCACTGAGTATGGATAAGGATGTGGGTAGAATATGTGTATTCTACACATCTTGTGTAGAATAAGCTCATCATTTAAGGTAATTGATTTCAGTCTCCTGTAAATGTTTTGAGTTTTAAGTGTCACGATTTGAGCTCAAGCTGAACAGAATATTGGGGAAAACTGTTCTCTTTAACCATCTGCGTAGTTGCAAATGAAAACATGCCTTTATGCCAGCATAGGAAGACAAAGTGTGACAAAAGCTGAATCACACATGAACTTACAGTCACCAGTCACAAAAATGAACGCATGCCCTAGTTACCTCTTGCAGCCCCACATTTCAGCCTGCAGTCAAATGCAACTTAATATACTGAGGTTTAGATACTCTTCTTTCTGGAAGGTGGAGGGCAGTGTACTTAGGAAAGTACTTGTTAACTCCTGTTAACTGTGTCCTGGTTAAGAAGCTGTTGATAACGTGTCACTAGGGTACAATGAGGCAGACTGTGTTTGGATGATGCCATCTCTCTCCTGTGAACTGCTGATTTTTGACTTGGGGTTCCTCAGTTGGCTTCAGGGTTAGGTTTAAAGCTTTCCATTGAGCTGAATTATTTGATTCTGGGAGATGGGGAAGGAGAGAAACTTGTCTTCCACACTCCGTGTTCAGATGATACAATACCATTGCTGTTAAATACTTTTTTTACTTGACTCTCAACACCAAAACTTTGTTAATACAAATTTTGATTTCGTTCTGTTTGCTTCTCACAGGAGGACGGTTGGGGTAATGAGAGCAAAGCAGCAACATGAGCTCCACCGCTAGATGCACTTGATTCCATCTTATTCCCTGTATCTGGTCATGTAGTCTCTGGTCCCCGAGATCTCCAGAGCCCTACACTTCAGGTGGCATCTGTAAAACTACTCTGGTGAGCAGACCAGGCAGTACTGATTTTTTAATAATTGCTGTTAAATGTTGTTGATACTCAAATAGGCTGGGATCTTTATCTTCTCAGTGTAAGGCTGGAACCATCTCCTAATTCACGTGGTGCTCTGGGCTGTAGTGAGCTTTCAAAGTCATCATAATGAGATTGGCTTTTTGGGTGGTTTTTGGTTGTGAAATATCATTGGAGAAACTAGTTTTTTTCAGTGAGATAAAATCCTTTATTTTTTATTTCAGTAGCATCCCTAACTTACCAAATTATCCTTTTCTTGCAGAATAACAATCCTATTCTTTTCAAAAAGTATAGCAGCACAGTAAGTACATCCCAGTCTACTGCACAACCACTTATTTCCTTCAGTAACACGATAAAACATATGGTTAGTATAACACAGCAGCTTAGTTTATTTGGAAATATGTTTAATTTTGCTGAAGAGATTTGGTAGGCCTAGAGAAAGGTACAAGAGAACCATTGCTGGTAAAATTGGTGATTGGTACAAATAGCACTTCAACACTTCTGTTTGTCTCAGTAGACCAAGATCCTTTCCTGAATATAACCATGTTTACCAGTTCATAGAGGAAATAGGGTGTCAAATCCACCTTAAATTTTCTTCTTTTTCTGATGCCTTGCCTTCTTTCTGAAGTGATAAACAGCCAGGATTTCCAGAAGAGATTTTGGATGCTTCAGTCAACCAATGTCCCTCTGCAGATGGTAACAGGTATCTGAAAATCAGCTCTGAAATTATGCCAGTTATTAATATAGTTACCTAAAGATACTCTCTGATATTTTCTTACATATGAGATTGCATAATGCATTATGTTCACAGGACCATGGAATTACAAAGCGTCTCTTTTTACTTGGGAAGGTGCAGTGGTTTGGTCTGTTTTGTAAAAACAAAGGCCAAGATTCTTACTTAATTCCTTCCTAAGTTTAGTTTGTTTAATTACAGCCATTATGTTTGAAGTGAGCCATTAGGGCTCTGCTGTGTTCTGGACAGACATCCCTGTAAGCTGGTGTTCAACATAGTTGAGAATCTGACCTCACAGTCTAAGAAATCCAGGACTTTGTTGCTAAGCAGCATCACTGACCCCCTTCGAGAGGAACCAGTAGTGCACTGGAGGCAAGCTGCTCCAACTCACCCAGATAAAACCAGAGTGGAAGCATTCACTAATTAAAACCAAAACAAACTTGCACAAAGAGAACGTTTCAGCTGAGCCAAGTTAGAACTTCAGAAGTTCACTTTCATTAGTACTGCTGTAGTTCAAGTCCCTTTAGGGCACAGGTGGCCAGTGCTAACAGTATGTGAGTATTCATACTTGCTGGGTTTTCTTCTTTAGGAGGGAGCTCTGTAGCCTAGTCATGAGTGTTGCATCCCAGAATCTAGCTCCATCTCATGCTAATTTTTTTTCATACAAACCGGCATTTCTACTGATTTCACTTTTCCCAAGGGACTACAGAATCTGTGCAGCACACAGGGATGAACCCAATTATCAGCGCAGCCTGGTTTAAACACTAGTGTGCACGAGTCACCTTTTGCCTCGTACGAGCTTTGTGTGTGAAGTCCTCCTTCAGGACCCTTTACTTACCGGCATTCGCGATACTTGGTTGCAACAGTTGATCGTCCAAGGCTTTAAGTTTGGTGCTTCGCTACAGGTATTTCCTAACTTCCGTTGCCTTTGTTACTGGCACTGAACACCTGCCTCTTGTCTTAAGACACTGGTAGTACCTGATGTAGCAGTTGGGTACCAGTAAATTTAAGAGGCTGTTGAATTTTACAGAAGCCACTGGGTACCTCTTCCCGTCTAGTGTGTATTCTCCCTTAAAAGCAGTTTCCCTTAGAACTGTAAATGTACACAGGTGCTGAACAGAGTACAACCCATACCAGCTACAGAGCTGAACGCAATTTATCAGCAAGGATGCAGTATTATGTATGACTGTTCATCCTTTGGAGATGTGTTGTACTCTTTCCTGTGCCTTTGATCAAAATAATTAAAGTGCTTCATGTCTTAGTGGAAACCTGGTGCTTTTTCCTTCTTGATCACTAATGTTATGGAACTTAGTGATATTGTTGTTTTGCTTGGTTTTGTTTTTTTTGTCTCAAATGAGTCTGCAATACTGAAACAAATGGTTCTAGAATTGCAAGTGTTCTTCATAGCATTAGTCCAATGCTAGGGATTAGGGTGGGGTTTTTTGTACAAGAATAGTCTAAGTTAATTTAGATGGTGTCCACCTCCTTGAACCTTAGTAAGATATTTCTTCTCTCTAAAAAATATTACTCTTTATCCTTTTGGGGTAACTGCTTTTTTTTTTTCCCCTCTCCTTTCCTATAACTGTGGTTTGTTTGTATATCGGTGCACACTTCACTTTGCTGGCTTCACAAAATGGAAGTTACTCTTGGAAAACTTTTATTTTAGGAACTTTTTGCTATCTGTTTGTTAGTTCTAAGCCTGAGATTTTTCACATTAGATCCATGTACATTTATTTTATTATTTACACCTATCACAGTACATTTATATGGAATACCATCACACAGACAAACCAGCTACTGACAGCTAATATAAAGATTCCACAAGGCTTAATCTGCATAGAGACCAGAAACACATTTAATGGTGAAACACAGGTAAGTCTTTCTGTATTTCCCTCATTTTGAAACCCATTTTGCGAAGAATGTGATTTTCCTACCACAAATATCTACTTCTGTATTTATGTATTTGTCTTGTAGTAAGTTTGTCTTGGGTGGCTAATATCTTCCTATGCTTGATTGTTTGTATTTCTTATGGTCATGAAATATGTAACTAATAGTTGTTTTAAGCATTGTTTTAGTTAAATTTTGTTTGTCTTCCTTTCTCCTCCCAGCAACCTACCAGTGATATGTAACTGCATACTGCATGTAGCTTCTAATAGCGGATGAAACATTCTGGGTGAGTATTTATCTGGACTCCATGTGAAGTGAAGATCTAAAAGAGAAATGACCCAGCTTTGGGCTACATTGTCTATTTGCAGATTACCGTAGCTGTGCTTCCTAAAGTTTTATCAGAGACTTAGTTTCCCTGGTGCAAGCAGTATTCATTTGACTTAAGTAATTCAGAAGTCATATGGGATATAAAAATCTATTTCTACTTGCAGCATCCTTGTCACTAATCCTCACTCTTTAGGAAGAATTGGAAATGAAACTCCGCAGCAAAGTAGCTGAGTATCAGACTAGTTTGGTAACTATTTTGTATGCAACATCAGTTATCCTAAAGTTGCTTCATCTGTTTGTTGCCCTTTATACAGCATTGCTACTTGTGGCTTTTGTTTTGAACAGTAGCTAAAATGGGCTATTTCAGCAATTTGAGTGCTCTTTGTCAAGGGGGAGAAGTGTACAACCAATTCCTACAAAGTGATGGCCTATTAAAATTGTTGATTTACACCTCACTGGATGAAATATACCCTCTTTGAATACACTTCTATCACTGGTGTGTTTTTGTTGACTCTACTACAGATCTTTTCTGGTCACTGGACAGCCACTATATAGATTTCTTTTGTTTTTCGGCATGCGTGTTGAGTGATCCATGCAACGGTGAAGAACCTGCCACTGTACATTCCATATATACTGTTGGACCAGTTGCTCTCGATTCTGTTAGTGGGACACTGGTTGTTCCCCTCACCCTGCAGTTTCATTCAATGAAAATATTTGGAAAGACAAACGTGGTAGAGAGCCCAGAGCTACATGATGTTGCATTGTGTGGCCCCACAACAATCTTTAATAATAGCCAATCCTGCCTTGGCAATGGTGGGCTTGCTTGGAGGAGGTTCTGCCTTCTTTTCTGCTGGGCTGCCTGCAATGTTCAAAAGACACCATTAAAACCAAGAGCTGATCCAACAATAATTTTTCCAACTTCTGGCTTAAAGAATACAAGTCTTTCCTGCTGCCCCTTATCCCCACTCTTGTTTGAATAATACATCTAACACTTGGGTAATAACCAAGCTGGAATGTGGATTTAGACTGCTCAGGAAATCTTATCTTTTCAGGGAAGGAAGTTAAGATGGGCTAAAAAATTCAGATGTCTCAATGGGAGGTAAACTTTTTGTGTCTTTTTCAAACCAGGTGTCCCTGGTCATAGCCAATAGTGTCAGGTAACAGGCCCAATAGTGTCAGATAACAGAAAGCCAGCTGACTGTGTTCAAACCCCAACAACTAAGGAGCTGAAGAACAAAAACACTGCTAGAGTTTATTCTCTCATCAACTTGGATGTTGTAATTTGGAGAACAAGTATTTTTATTTTTCAGGGTGAGAAGAATCTTTTTAGCTTTAACATGCATTTAAAAGCAGTGACATGAAGCAAACTAACAAGGGAAATGAGTCATGTTCCCTGTAACTAAAAGGGCATAAATAATTAGTGATGTATCTTAAAATATCTCTATCAGTCCTGTACAGACATTGTACAGTCTTGTACAGGCATTCCACATCCCTCTGGAAACTCTTCAGCAAGATCTTGATCTGTGCAAAATGGCAGTGTATTTGGATACAAACCTCTTCAGCAGTGCATCAGATTCACCTTTTAAGACAGACACCACTCTCACTATCACTTTCACTGACTATCTCCCTCCCTAAGAGCTCAGTCAGGTCAAAATCAATCTCTTAACTTTTAGAGTTCAGGCTGTGAGTGTTTTGCTTCAAAGTTGCAGCTAAAACCTTCCCAAGGGATCCTGTAATCATCTTAATTTCTGAGAAATTAGTGTGTTTGCAGTTCTGTCCATAAGTGGTTTGGGTTGAGGTGCCTGAAAAGCCTGTTTATGCTGGTAAGATGTAAGAAATTTAGGGCAGCTGTGGAAGTTTGAAGTCTTTCCTCTAGTTTCCATCTAGTCTGCACTAAAACAGGCAAACTTTGCTTCCATGTATCCTAGCGTATATCTTAAGAGTGTTTTTCCAGTTGGTTTTGCAGAACAGATGGGAAAATGCTTGGCAAAAAAAAAAAATCTAACTGCTTACAAAACCAGGTCGTGGCAATGTGTATTCAAATATACTTTGCATCTTTGAAACATAAAAAGCAATTCTGAAGTGACCATAGGTGACCTGGATGCCATTTTAAATGGGTAATTAGGCATCTGAATTCTAAGTGGCCAGCGATTGCTGACACTCTCAGGGTGATGTAGCTAGAGTAACCTGGCTTTTGGCAGAGACTGGCCCACCATGGCCTTTGAAAATGCTCTTTTATCCAGTTATCTTTAGAGCTTTTCCAGTTGATTTTCTTAATGTTTAGGAACTCACTTGTAAGAGATTGTGTTGCTTTGTCTAAGGGTTTTAACTTAGTGCGAAGGAATTCAGCCATCTCTTTGTCTTCTTCTTTCTCTCTGGTGGAAAAACAAAAAGGGAAAATAAATCCATTAGAGAAATAACAATGTTTTCTCTGTAAATGGGACAGTAAAAGCTAGAGTAGCTAGAATCAAATCACTAGTAAACAATTCACTTATTTCTTCTTTTTAAAAACACTTAATTTTGCAGCTTATGAAAGAGTCAAGTATTTGCCTAAATGAAAACAGTAACAAACTTCTCGTAGAATTTGGAAATGGAATTTTCCCCAAGGTTCTTTACTTGTCTCATAGTCTGGATTCACTATATTCCCTAGTCAGTGGATTTAAACCATAGTGTACCAGGTATCACAGAATCACACAATGGCCTAGGCTGGAAGGGACCTTAGAGATCATTTTAATCCAGCCTCCCTGTTGCCAGGGACACCACCTCTCGAGTAGATCAGGCAACACATGGGGACCAAATGGGAATCGAACCCGCGTCCTTGGCATTGTTAGCGCCACGCTCAACTGACTGAGCTAACCAGCCCCCTCAAGTTGGCCTCACAAGTGTTTCATGATGCTTCCTCTACAAAGGAAAGCAGAGGCTCTATACTGCTGTGATCATACTGCTTAGACAAAAGACCAGATCTCATGTTCTTCTGCTGTTAGTATTTGCCAAAACCAAGCAGATTTCTTAGCTTCAATATTGACAGCATGAGCCCCAAAATAAAAAGATTATTTTGCTAACTTTGATTGTATCTATTAATGATATTTCCGTGTTGGTTTCTTTGCTGTTTTGTTACTTAAATATTGAGTGCACTGACTGAGTATCTCAGAGGAAGAGCAGCCTTTATTATCAACAGCTTTAAAGAAAACCCTTGGGTTTTAGTGCAGATGTGAACTGACACTAATGTGCACAGCAGTGCATTTTCAGCAGCCTACAATGAGACTTCTGCATTGTCTGGCTGCTGCTGAGGTTTTTGTGATTTGCACATTGAAATAGCAGTTGAGAGCTCTGGATTGCGTTACAGGCTCAGGCTTCCTGTCAGCTGCTGCCTTTGGCCAGCTCTCTTTGATCAGCTGCAGGACTCTGGCAAGCTTTCTTCTCCTGTCTTTTCCTTGCTTAGAATTCAAATGTGTTGGAAGAGATACTGTCATCTAGGATAAATGGATTGATGAGCCCTGCATCTTTACTGTTAGAAGAGACAGGAGAAATAATAGCAAAGCTCTGGCTATTTATAGAGTGCTGGGATCTTGGTGCAACAGCTGGAAATGAACTTTTGAGGAAGACCACAAGTTTCTTACAACTTTGGGCTAAGATACTGAGATGAAACCATTCTGAACTTGCTAATGCTTTAAGTTAGACCGTGATAGCAATTGCAGGGTAAGAATAGTAATAATAAATAAACCCTGGCCACATCAACTTTAAAAAATAATAAAAAAAAAAGGCAGATTTTAGAAGCCAACAAACATGCCTCTTGCAGGACTCCATTTCACGTCTACTTCTCATGCAAAGAGGATCCTCTGGTCGCAGCAAAAATCCTTCTCTTTTTAATGGCAAATGCCCAGATACTTTCTGGTAGGAAACTAAGAGACCAAACCCTGCTGTAGTCATGAGATGACTGAATCGTTAATGGGATAAAGAGCCACAGAATTGCATTAACATAGTTTTAATGTTTTTTTCTATGGAACTGGGAGGAGCTTTTAAATTGTCAAGTTGTTTAAAGGACCAATTCACTCTCACTAATACCGATGTAAATTCTGTCACTCACTCCAGTGTAGTATTAGACTTGTGAAATGTCACAAAGCAGTCGCTTTTTGTTCTTACCGTAATCGCTCCACCTCTGCATCATCTACAAGAAAATCTCTTTTTTGTACAAGTCTATGGATCTTCTGAATCAGTTCATCCTCTCTTTGCTTCTCCATCTTTGTTTTCTCTTTTTCTGGTCAAAAACAAAAGAAAGAGACTGTTACTTTGGATTTTAGGGAGTGGAGCAGGGGGTGTTGAGACATCATGGTTGTCTAAGAATGAATTGCTCATTGAAGTCAATGGTTCTTCAGACCTGATCCACCACAACCCCAGCAACTTTTCTGTTTGCCTCTTTTTCTCTCTGCAGCTTACCCTTGTTGTGTCTCATCAGCTTGATGGTCTGGAGACTGTGGGGCTTGCCAAGCCTACTTTGAATATTACATTACTCTCCAAGACATTGCTTTGAATTTTTTTTAAGAGCTTTTCTAAGAAGACAGTCCAGAAAACTTCATCAAAATCCATGGTACAAATTCCCTTTGACCTCAGGAAAGATGAGACCACACCAAAAGGAACCATTTTTTTCTGTATTTCATGACAGCTTTGGCTGTTGCCTACAACGTTTTTCTACTGGTAAGGCAGGCGAGCTGCATATCCACACAAACAGCCTCAATTGTAAAATGTGGGAAAATAAAGTGTTCCTTGTGCTTCAGAAATCTGAGTAGTATATGTCATCTTTATTTGGCCAGTCTGTAATGATGAGGTTGTCTATAAACAATTATTTTTGTGACATGAAAGATACGCTTGTCACAAACTAAAATTCAGGGATGTTAGGGATTACAGAGCTGTAGTTTAAGGTTATAAAGCAAATGCAAACCTAGCAAGTAGAGCAGAGATGAGAAAGCCAGAGGCAAATCCCTGCCCATGTATTTCCTCAAGAAGCTGAAAATTTTGATTAGCTGAGAAGACACTTTGCATTAAATCAAGAATTTTGGTTTTGAGCAGAACTGTGTTTAAAGAACCGTAAAATCAAGTGTAATAAGAGTTGTGGGAAGAAGGGCAAGCTGCCTGCAGTCTGATGCATCTGAGCTGTTATGTCTGCTCATCGAACTTATTTAGCTGCTTAAAATATCTTATATATCAGACATTCAAAAATAATTGTTTAGTACAGCTTAATTTGGGATCATGGGCTTCTTCCCTTCTGCTGGGAATTTCTGCAATAAATCTCAGAAGAGTCATACTTCCTTGGAGAATTTTAAATTATGGTCTGCTAGTGGCAGAGGAAATAATTTTTTAATATAATAAGGCTGCTTTATCTGGGATATATTTTCTGGGATTTATCTTTTAGAAATAATACAGGAAAGTGGTTACTGACTGCTATGGAAATTTCAGGACCTCTGCATCAATCCATATGGAGAATTCCTGTGATTAATGCAGAATTTGCAGCAGAGAAAAAAAGGAGAATGCTTAGAAATCACTGATTTCGTTCTTGCTTTACCTCTTTACATCTGTGGAGTAACAGATCTCCTCTTACTTCTGAAGGCAGAAGCTACTTTCTACTTCCTTTCAATCTATCCTCTTCCCAGATGGAGATGTGCTCCCTATGATCTCAGTCAGTTGAGTGTGGCGCTAACAACGCCAAGGTCGCAGGTTCAAATCCTGTTTGGTCCCCATGTGTTGCCGAGGTGGCGTCCCTGGCGACAGGGAGACCGGATTAAAATGATCTCTAAGGTCCCTTCCAGCCTGGGCCATTCTATGATTCTATGATATCCTTCAGGAAACTGCCTGCCAAATATAAGCATCCTGAGTTGTGGCCAAGTTCTGCATACTCTGTGTACTAAAAAGACTGATCCCATGTCTACTGAAATGGGCTAAACCACATCTACAGAAACCGAAGAGCAAGTCTTTCTATACAAATCTGTATACTGACAGGAAAGTTATGATAAAGATGTTACGAATGAACCCATTTCTGGAAAGTGTTTTTCTAGGTTAGACATATGCTATGTCAGCATTGGGTTCTGTGGGAATGCCTGCACCTTCTTTGTCTTTGTTAAGACAAAAAAATTCTTGTGCATCTGCCAAAAGGTGGTGCTGCTGGAACTGTGAATCCTTAATTCCACAGTCTGAGATTTGCAAAGTGCTAAAGAGAAGCTGCTGTCTGGATTCCTCATTGATTTCAGCTGGAGTTTGGAACTGAGGGCTGCAAAACTGCCCACAGCTCTGTCTCTCCTCAGAGCAGTGAACTTGCAGAGAATTAAAGCAAAACACAAAGCAGACTTGCCCCTTGCTTTTTGTGGAAACCCATTTTAATTTATTCTAGAGGGTATATTTAACTAGAGGTGTGACAATGAATTGGTATATCTAGGGAAAAACCAATCATGTTCACAGTGATGGTTCTAAATCCTTTCTCCCTTTTACCCCAGGTGTCTCAGCACTCTGTCTTTTCTAGCTGACAGCCTCTGTGCCACTTGGTTCCCTTGAGATTGCCATGGGAGTGCAAGAACTAAGCAATGTGTACTTTGAGTGATAGTTGCAGGGTTGCTGCCAAGGGAGCAATGAAATAGAGCATGAAAAAAACCGATAGAGCTGAAGATAGGAAGGAAAAAATAAGGCCTAGAGAAGAGGGATATGGAACTCAACCTTGGGGGGATTTCTGATTGTTAGGGGCAGAGTGTACTCCTGACACCATTCCCACGTATCACCCAAGCATTATCTTAATATTGGGTTAGAGAGAGCTGTTACCTGGGATTGCTACCAAACTCTGCAGCTCTTTCTTAAGGTTCATAATGTCTTTGCACAGCTGGATGTCATCCATCCTGCAGAAACAGAAAAAGCGTGGTCAGAGACATGCAAGCTCCATCCTGTATTGATGAGACTGGCCAGACCTCATGTGACTATTACGATTTTGTCCCTTGCCTGGGACCTGTGCATCAGCTTGAAATGCAGAGCTTCAACCTTGGGTTACTGATACCGTTCATTCACCAATTTTAACAGGGAGCATAAAGGTATTTAATACTAAATGTCCACTGAGCACTTGATTACTTGTCTTACTGGCATCTAATTTTTGTGCACGTCTTATCTGTCATGACAGACTACTCCAGAGGCCTTTTATTTCCCTGAATGTCACTGAACATTCTGGAACAGACAGCTGCGTATTTTGTTATCACAGATAGGTGTGCCATATTGCACATACTGCAGCAACAGCATTCACTGTGGAAAAGAGCAAGGGCGAGAATAACAGGGAGCCTGGGAAGGGGCAGCAGAAGCCAATACGTTATTTGGCACAGCCAAGACAAGGTTTATAGTCTGCTACCAACCTTCTTTGTGATCTTAATAATAACTTAGCTCTGATACCAAAGATCTGGAAACTGCTATGATTTGACATCTATCTGTTTTGAGATTTTCTGCCTTGAGTGAATGTCTTGCATGGTTGATAGGAATGTGTCAAATCCTTGATCTGTGCAGGAAGTCCACTAGTGCTGAGACAGCTAAAAAAAAAATCTGTAACATTAGCAGAAACTGTACCTTCAGTTCTTACTGAACCTGATACCTACTCTGAGAGCTGCTATGCTGAATTACACCCCTGGAAGCAAACTTCTGCGTTAGCTTCCTGGCAAATGTTTTGTTTCAGTGTCTTGGCTGTGTTGGCAGCCAGGGCTCAGGTGTCGGTTCTGAGGGCTGCACGAGAGGCTTCCATTTTGAAATGACACTCTGAAGAATACAAGCTCAGCCTTCGTGTGATTAATTGTACATTATTTGACTTGGATGTCACCAACACTATCCTTGCCCACAGGTCTCCAAGTCCTTGTTTCATAACCCTGGGCCTGAAGGGTGGATTGCCTGCTGCCTCAGCACCTGAAGGGAGCTCAAGTGCTGTCTGAACATGGGCTGTCACGGTGCTATTTCAAGATGAGTGTGTGTATGGGAGAGCAAGTGGGCAAAGGATAATGCTGCCAAATTATTGAATTAAGTGAGGAGTACAACAAGTAGGTGTTTCTGGCGCAAAACCCAATATTTTAATCACAACCCAACATATTATTCTCCCTGCGGCCTCTGTCTGGAATGCAGGTCTCTGCAGGGAGTTGTCCTTCGGCTGTTTTGCTCATGTTATTAAAACAGGTTGATCCTTTTATTATTTGCTGCTTTGGTTAACTCGATCTTGCCCGTTCTACTTTCACTGTGCTATGACAGCTATTCTGCCTTTTTACTTCTTCCTAGAATATGATGGTGAAATATCTCTGATAGTAGTCTTTATTACTGATCTCTTTTTCTTGTTTAGGTGCCACTGTCACCTCTGCTGGAGATGTGCTCTCCTACCATACATCTGTCTTCTAAGACTTATTTTTATTATTGGGAACATCAGCGTACTAGCCTGAGGGCTAGTCCATGGTTTGCTGCTGTGTGTGTTTAGGACATACGGAGGCAGAGACGTTTATAGAGAATTATTCTTACTTGGGCTCCCCCTATTACTTGTGCTTATCACAAGCAAAGCCTGTTTTACTCTGGAGATCAATCATGCTACTGAAATTACTTTTATCAATTAACAGTCTTAAACGCTCTTCTCTCAGGAGAATCAATATTGAAAATGTGCTGGGATGTGAGCAAGCCTCACAGCTCCTTTTACATTCCATGTTCATGCGGTTTGGGCATCACATTAATATAATGAGTGTTAAAATATTTGAGGAAAACGACCACAGTTAACAGGGACAACAGTTTCTAGGTAAGAAATATTCAATATTGAACATTCAAATATCAAATTATATTTAGGGGCCAAATCCTCAAGTAGTGAAGAGAACAGTGAACTTCTACAAAAGAAATCTCTAAGACATACAGAGAGGATATTCTTTGTTCTGTATCACATAGATTGGGCTTCATTCTGGGAAGATATGAAAACTGAATTAAAATACTTCACTGTATCAGTTTGGTTCTCTCAGATTTTCAGGAATTTAAAATAAAATAGTAGGTATAAGTGAGCAATATCATCAATGTTCAGTAGTCCCTACACTCAATTTGCGGTAAAGGTACTGGCCTCGTATTGCAACTGTAGTTTCAATTCCTCCCATTATTTTGGCTCTATTTAAATCTGACTGCAGATCATATAGCTAGCCCTCCATGTATATTCTTGGCATCTCTTTTTCCTAAGAACTTAACTTTGTTCCTGCCTTGTAACTCATGGGAAAGAACTCATGGCCAAGTACTGAAGGGCTGTATCAGCTCTTTGACAATCTGAATTCCAGAAGCCAAGAGCCAGATGCCCTCTCTGGAGTGCCAGCTCTGTATGCCAGGGCATTCTGATGGTGAACAAAGGCTAAACCCACCATCTGTACCGATCCCCCTAAGCACATGGAACATCTTTCCTCCCATCTGTGTCAAACGGTATTTGTTTCATCTACTCCACGGTGCTGATTAGGTAAAAAGTAAATTAAAAAAAAGATACGGTTAAATGACTAAAGGAGGGCTATGGGACATATTCATAAAAAAAACCTGAAGGTTTTATCCATCCGACTTTATGAAAGCAGAAGCTATAGGTGCATAGTTACAGCACCTCAGACATCTGCTAACAATTAATGCTGAATGAAGGGCTACAATTGCTGTCCAAGGCAAGAGTCATCTTGTCCTCAAAGAAAAAAGAAGAGGAGAAACTCCTGAGAAAGAAAGCTCTTCGAAGACCCTCCAGTCTGTACTGGTACTGTGAACCTTCTATTTTCCCCCTTTATGCTCTGGCTTTTGGATGTAAGCAGTTAACAGGAGGCCCAGGAGAAGCTAATGCTCCTTCCAAAAGAAAAAAAAAATCAAATCCCAGTGGATTTCTCATTTGCAAGCTGGGTAGTCAGCAGGATTTGACTGAAAGCATATTTGTATTACTATCAGACCTCTTTAGCAAGTAAAAAGAGCTTTGGGGAATCTTCAGAGAGCAGGAATCTGTGGAGCGGAGAAAATAAAACTCCTCTGGGTCCCCTACCCTTATATAGAGAAGCTGGAGTAACACACTGAGCCTACTTCTACAGCTCTTCCTAGGTTATAAGTCACATCTATTGGAGTGTAAGATGGGCAAGAGGAGAAGTTGCACAGACTATTGTCCAGCTTGTTTAAGAGCACTGTTATGTTCCCTGTGCACGTGGTACTTTTCTCAAAGGAGAGCCGCGCAGTGAGGTTGTTGGTCTGTGCACAACGCAGTGTTCCCTACAGATGCAGCGTGGCACAGGGAACGGAAATTACACCCTCCAGGCCTGTTTAAGTTTTCTGCAAAGCTGCTCGAGACATTTGCATAAAATTTGCAATATACAAACAACCTTTGCTGAACTCTCTGTTCTCTGGAATATATAGTACATTCTTTCCAGTCCCTGTGAAATCATTTTTGATGTAGAAAAAACATTAGTAAAGCAAACAGCAGTTAGAATATGTCAGTTTTTCCCCCAAAGCTGAGCTCTTTTAAACGTCTCCTTAGCACATGAGTTATGAATTTGATACGACATTTCTCTTATTAAGAGCCCAAATCTATTCCTGGAGTAATTGGAATAGTATTGAACTAGGGATGAATTCTCAGTACGCTTTCATGTATTCCTGCCACGCCGTCTGCAATTCTGCTTTTCTGTTTCTTGATGGCTTTTTGCAAGAAACCCTCTGTATGCTTGGAGATATCATATAAGCAAGTATTATTCTTTTCTCTCTTGGTATTTCACGCTGTATCATCAAAGCCTAAAACCAGACTCTCTGTTTGCCCAAAGAAAAGATAAAATAGCTCATAAGGAATAAACAGTGTGAGCAAAACGACAGGAAAATAAGTGGGTTGGAAGAGTCTGCAGTAATCTGGCACCGTGACTCAGCCTCGGTGTGTGTTTCTGTGGTCCAGTTACCAGGAGAAGAATGCTCGAAGCGCTGTCATCCCCGTAAGATCCACAAGTGAGGTGACAGCATGAGTCACCTCTGCCAGGCTCCATCTGGACTGAGGGGGAGCAGGGCAAGGAAACAGAGAGAAGACCTCCTGTTCAGCTGTGCCCTGGTCTCAGAGAAGTGTTTTGTTTTGTTTCAACAGAAATTAACTTTTCAGCTGAGGAAGAAAACCAGATTTCCTTGTGTAAGACTTAGGTACCATCTGGAGCCATGGATGGAAGAAAAGCAAAAATTAGAGTAAAGTGCGGTAGGAAAATCACTAAATGCTCTTTCTAGTGGTCAGCCAAAGAAAAAGAGGTGGCCAACAAGTTTGTTGAATGCTTAAGATTTGAGAGTAAGAACCATTAATAACAGCTACAATAAGCATCAGGTATCTTTTTCACTGCTTTCAGAACGAGCAGAGCAGTTCAGTGTGTCTAGAGAGCTGTTGCCTTTGCTGAACGACTTTCAAAGCTAGAAATAGATCTGTGCTCCCTCTAGCATGTCTGTAAGAGTAGGTCTGAGATTCTTTGGCTTTATGTTATTGCGTTTAAGTGACTGAAGTTAAAAAATTAATGTAGAATGATTTTGCTGGTTTCCTTCCAAGAAGGTCTGCAGACACTAAGGTTATTTTTAGTCCTGTTTTAATTTATTCCTGTCTCAGAAGTAAAATGCTTCTAATTGTTAGAGTTCTGGAAGACTTTGATCGTGCCAGTCTATGAGATGGCCTAAGAATCAGATGTCTGTGATGTTAAGTCATGAGTTGACGTGCTACATGTATCTGGAGAAGGTGTCAATGTAGAGATAAGATCATCTCCGTAGTGGTGTCACTAGGTGAACACGCTGAACACTAGCCAAGAGCAGGGACTAGCGATGGAGAAAGTTGGGTGCCTGAAGTGAAGAGCTGTGTGGAAATAAAAGAGAATTGCTACAGACAGAGATG